GCCGAGGGCCGCCGTCCGCCTGTCATTGGTTTACGCAGGCCGAGGGGCCGCCGCCCTCCTGTCATTGGTCTACGCAGGCCGAGGGGCCGCCGTCCTCCTGTCATTGGTCTACGCAGGCCGAGGGGCCGCCGTCCTCCTGTCATTGGCCTACGCAGGCCGAGGGGCCGCCGTCCTCCTGTCATCGGTTTACGCAGGCCGAGGGGCCGCCGTCCTCCTGTCATTGGTCTACGCAGGCCGAGGGGCCGCCGTCCTCCTGTCATCGGGTTACGCAGGCCGAGGGGCCGCCGTCCTCCTGTCATCGGTTTACGCAGGCCGAGGGGCCGCCGTCCGCCTGTCATCGGTTTACGCAGGCCGAGGGCCGCCGCCTGTCATCGGTTTACGCAGGCCGAGGGGCCGCCGTCCGCCTGTCATCGGTTTACGCAGGCCGAGGGGCCGCCGTCCGCCTGTCATCGGATTATATAGGCTAAGCTCCCCAACTACATGACTGCTGTGATTGGCCATCAGTGGTCACATGATCAGGAGCCGCTTCTGAGAGTCAGTCACCGCTCACGCCGCTGCGATTTAGAACCGCACAATTTGAACGCGGTTTTCAGCGCGATTTCTGAAGACTTTATTGCGACTCGTGAAGATTTTCAATGATTTCTTGCGATCTGCAGCGTGATTTCCATGATATTCTGTCTGTGAAATCGCAATAAAGTCACGCCAGAACGACTTCAGAATTCGCAGCAAATCGCAGATGTTCCGGCATCGACATTCATTAGATGAGATTTCAGTTCACAAATCACACCATAAGACCGGCATTTAGGGGGGACTGATCACATGATCAGGAGCCACTCCCTCCAGGGGCCGAGAGCTGTTCATGACAGCTCAGTCACTGGGCTGGGGGCGTGCTCTCGGTGCAGACACATAGACCGCTCAGTGACACACGTGTAGCATGTAGGCGTTAAACCCCCCGCCCCCCCCCAGGTTGTGGTTTCACATGTAATGCATGGACAGACGACTACCTTGTTGCTGCTGGTGTAATACATGTGTGAGGGGGAAAAAGGGGGGGGCTGGGCGGTCTATATTTCTGCGCTGAGAGCACGCCCCCAGCAGTGACTGAGCTGTCATGAACAGCTCTCGGCCCCTGGAGGGAGTGGCTCCTGATCATGTGACCACTGTGACATTACGGAGCCTTCCCGCCCCTCTGGGCATTCAGAACTTTTTAAAGGGATGCCAGGGTGGCTGGGAATGGGGGGAGGGGAGAAGGCGGTACCAGAGAGCCCCCCCCCCCCCCCGATGAGGTTGCGTAGAGTGATGGGGATTTTTCAGGCGTTCCGATCCCCACAAACTCTCCTATCGATCGTCCTTCCGGGAACTGACATCCTAATATTACCTGGGGGGGGGGGGGGGGGTCACTATCACCTCCCAACATGGACACTTCAGCAGCCAAAAACAACAAAAATTTGGTTTTTACAAAAACATTTCAGACGATTGAAGCAGACGGCAGATCCGGGGGAGAAATCAGAGGACGTGGCGGCGGCGGTGGCGCCATGCAGCTCTGGGTGGGTGGGGGAGGAGGAGGGGGGGGTTCATGCAGCACAACAATTATTCTACAACCGTCACCATTCCGGAAGGGGAAGCGTAAAGTACAAAAACATAAAGAAAAATAAAAGAAGGTGAGAATCTGAGTGCAGCTGAACCAATTATAGACCAACAGCAGACCCCGCCCCCTCCCCCAATCCCCCCCCCCCACGCTCCATGCACAGCCACAAGCAATCGCATGGGTGGAGCTGAACTCCGGGTATAAATGTCGCTGATTGTCTGGCCTCGGCCTATCAGAGATTGATTAGGATTCCTGCAATATCACAACTGTCTTCAAAAACTTTATTGTTCCATCACAGCAGACAACGCTCCCGCCCAGCTGGAGCCAAGATCGACGCAAGCAAAGATCCCTAAAAAAAAAAAAAAAAAAAAAACTGCATTGGGGGACCTGTACTCCCCCAATGAAGTGTCCTCTGCCCCCCTTCACACCACATCCCTACCCCTAAAGCAGTGCCCCTTGTGCCCCTGAACATCACATCCCCCCCCCCCCCACTGTCGTATCCTCCCCCCCCCCCCAAAGTGTCCTCTGCCTCCCCATCCCCCAAAATCAGTGTCCCCTGTCCTTTTCTCATTACAATCCCCCCCCCACTGTAGCTTCTTCTGTCCCCCCTCCAACAGTGTCTCATCTGCCCCCCCCCCCCATGTCTCCTCTGCCTCCCCCCCACAGTGTCTCCTCTGCCTGCCCCCCCACAGTGTCTCCACTCCCACAGTGTCTCATCTGCCCCCCCCCCCCCATGTCTCATCTGCCCCCCCCCCCCATGTCTCCTCTGCCTCCCCCCCACAGTGTCTCCACTCCCACAGTGTCTCATCTGCCCCCCCCCCCCCAATGTCTCCTCTGCCTCCCCCCCACAGTGTCTCCTCTGCCTGCCCCCCCACAGTGTCTCCACTCCCACAGTGTCTCCTCTGCCCCCCCCCCCCATCTCCTCTGTGTTCCTCTTCCCACAGTGTCTCCTCTGCCGTCCCCCTCCCACAGTGTCTCCTCTCCTCTACTCCCCCCCCCACAGTGTCTCCTCTGCTCCCCCCCCCCCCACAGTGTCTCCTCTGCTCCCCCCCCCCCCCACAGTGTCTCCGCCTCCCCCCCCCCACAGTGTCTCCTCTGCTCCCCCCCCCCACAGTGTCTCCTCTGCTCCCCCCCCACACAGTGTCTCCTCTGCTCCCCCCCCCCCACAGTGTCTCCTCTGCTCCCCTCCCCCTACAGTGTCTCCTCTGCTCCCCTCCCCCTACAGTGTCTCCTCTGCCCCCTCCCCACAGTGTCTCCTCTGCCCCCCTCCCCACAGTGTCTCCTCTGCCCCCCTCCCCACAGTGTCTCCTCTGCTCCCCTCCCACAGTGTCTCCTCTGCTCCCCTCCCCCACAGTGTCTCCTCTGCTCCCCCCCCCCACAGTGTCTCCTCTGCCCCCCTCCCCACAGTGTCTCCTCCACCCCTCCCCACAGTGTCTCCTCTGCTCCCCTCCCCACAGTGTCTCCTCTGCCCTCCCCCCACAGTGTCTCCTCTGCCCCCCCCCCCGCAGTGTCTCCTCTGCCCCCCCCCCCCACATCCCATGTCTCCTCTGCCGTCCCCCCCCCAGTGTCTCCTCTGCGTCCCCCCCCCCACAGTGTCCTCCTCTGCTCCCCTCCCCACAGTGTCTCCTCTGCCCTCCCCCCACAGTGTCTCCTCTGCCCCCCCCCCCGCAGTGTCTCCTCTGCCCCCCCCCCACAATGTCTCCTCTGCCGTCCCCCCCCAGTGTGTCTCCTCTGCGTCCCCCCCCCCAGTGTCTCCTCTGCATCTCCCCCCCCCCACAGTGTCTCCTCTGCCCCCACCACCAGCACAGTGTCTCCTCTGTTCCCCCTTAGTGTCTCCTCTCCCCCCCCACCCCACACACACAGGGTCTCCTCTGCCCCCCACAGTGTCTCCTCTGCCACCCCCACCCCCCTCACAGTGTCTCCTCTGCCCCCCCCCCCCACAGTGTCTCCTCTGCCCCCCCCCCCCAGTGTCTCCTCTGCGTCCCCCCCCCCCCCAGTGTCTCCTCTGCGTCCCCCCCCAGTGTCTCCTCTGCGTCCCCCCCCAGTGTCTCCTCTGCGTCCCCCCCCCAGTGTCTCCTCTGCGTCCCCCCCCAGTGTCTCCTCTGCGTCCCCCCCCCAGTGTCTCCTCTGCGTCTCCCCCCCCCACAGTGTCTCCTCTGCCCCCACCACCAGCACAGTGTCTCCTCTGTTCCCCCTTAGTGTCTCCTTCCCCCCCCCCCCCACACACACACACAGGGTCTCCTCTGCCCCCCCCCCACCCCCCCTAATGTGACTGAGCCCATTGAACCAAAAAGGAAAAAAAAAAAAAAAAAAAAGAAGCAAGCTCTGAGGGTTCAGTATCAGGTTGACTGTAGAGGAGCCGGGTGCAGTGTTCTCTGTCACGCTGGAACAATAAAGTTCATTGCTTTTTGGATGCAGCAGGTTCATTACACAGCAGGACGGGGGGGGGGAGACTGACCCGGAAAAGGGAGCACCCAGGACTGGGATGATGCCTTAAAAAAGGTACCAAAGCACAAGCCCCCCGCCTACAGTTCTAGATTGACCTATCAGTAGACACCTGCTCAACTAAGGGGGTGAGGACAGGGAAAAGAAAATGTCCCGCCCCCGCAGAACTGTACCACACTCCCAATGGTTCAATGCGGACCCATGTCAGGAGAAATGGGCGGTGCCACAGAGGACCCTCCCCTCTGGCCGCCATTCATGATGTCATCAGGACTTTATAAGGTGTTTTTTTTTTTTTTTTATAAAGAGTACGGGGGAGGGGAGGGGGAGTTTTTTTTTTAAGGCGAACCCGGAGTTCAGCTTTAAGCGGATGCTGAGATTTGAAAAGGGTTTTTTGGGCACCCTATGGGGTGGGGGTGGGGGTGGGGGGATATATAATTTGGGTTTTACAGGTTGTCAAGGAGATATTGAGGCATCCGGTCACACACTTCTGCCTGTGACGGCCGAGACTCCCACCCGCCATCGGGGGGCGCAGGACAGAAGAGTGTGGGGTCCCCTTTAAATGGGCTGGAGAGTATAAAACACTAATAAGGGCCAGCGAGGGCGTGGCAGCACCGCGTACGGGGGGCGGAGCTCTGCATGCAGGATGGAAAGCAGCCGCCATGATGGATGTGAGAACACAGGGAGGGGGGCTGTCAGGAGGGACACCAGGGGCCCAAATATTTGGTGTCATGGGGGGGGGGGGGCTGTCAGGAGGGACACCAGGGGCCCAAATATTTGGTGTCATGGGGGGGGGGGGGGGCTGTCAGGAGGGACACCAGGGGCCCAGGCTGTCACCTTCACCCCTCCCATACAGAGCAGTAATGGTGATGCCAGGTGGGAGGACACGCCTCTGGCTGGATATTTGGTTTCATGGGGGGGGGGGGTGCGGATGAGGATGACAGCCCCCCCCGAGACCCCAATGGCTGCCCTCCTATGTCTCTCCTGACAGGTCCTCTTTATCGGGGTGTCGGGTGGGTGTGGGGTCAGGTGGTGCACCTACCCGAGCTTCGATGTACTCGATCCGCCTCTCCAGAGCCGTCAGCTTCTCGTTTAATGTCGCCAGTCGGGAGCGACAGGACATGTCTGATGGGGGAGAGAACAGACGTCAGATCCGTGTGCAACCAGATACTCCGCCCCCATGTGCAACCAGATACTCCGCCCCCATGTGCAACCAGATACTCCGCCCCCCCGTGTGCAATCAGATACTCCGCCCCCCCGTGTGCAACCAGATACTCCGCCCACCCCCCCGTGTGCAACCAGATACTCCGCCCCCCGTGTGCAACCAGATACTCCGCCGCCCCCATGTGCAACCAGATACTCCGCCCCCATGTGCAACCAGATACTCCGCCCCCATGTGCAACCAGATACTCCGCCCCCATGTGCAACCAGATACTCCCCCCCCATGTGCAACCAGATACTCCGCCCCCATGTGCAACCAGATACTCCGCCCCCATGTGCAACCAGATACTCCGCCCCCCCCACCCCCCCCGTGTGCAACCAGATACTCCGCCCCCATGTGCAACCAGATACTCCGCCCCCATGTGCAACCAGATACCGCCCCCGTGTGCAACCAGATACTCCGCCCCCCCCCCCCCCCCCCCGTGTGCAACCAGATACTCCGCCCCCCCGTGTGCAACCAGATACTCCGCGCCCCCCCCGTGTGCAACCAGATACTCCGCGCCCCCCCCCGTGTGCAACCAGATACTCTGCGCCCCCCCCGTGTGCAACCAGATACTCCCCCCCCGTGTGCAACCAGATACTCCGCCCCCCCCCGTGTGCAACCAGATACCCGCCCCCCCCGTGTGCAACCAGATCCCCCTGCCCCCCCTGTGTGCAACCAGATCCCCCGCCCCCCACGTGTGCAAACAGATCCCCCGTCCCCCCTCTTGAGTAACCAGATCCCCCACCCCCCACGTGTGCAACCAGATACCCTGCCCCCCCCCGTGAAACCAGATACCCCGCCCCCCGCTGTGTGCAACCAGATCCCCGCCCCCCTCTGCGTGCAGCCAGATCCCCCGCCGCCCCCCCTCCGTGTGCAATCAGATCCCCCCACCCCCCCCGCCTGCAACCAGACCCCCCCCCACGTGTGCAACCAGATACGCCGCCCCCTCCACATGAAACCAGATCCCCCGCCCCCCTCCGCATGAAACCAGATCCTCCGCGTGCAACCAGATCCCCCGTCCCCCCCCCCCCTCTGCGTGCAACCAGATCCCCCGTCCCGCCCCCCCCCCCCCCTCTGCGTGCAACCAGATTCCCCCCCCCCCCCCCCAGAGTGTGCAACCAGATTCCCCCCCCCCCCCCCCCGTGTACAACCAGATCCCCCCCCCTCCTATGAGGCCTGTGGACCCCCCCTCTCACCTGTGTGCCTCACAACACTGTCTGCACATCCCATATATTATTATTATACAGGATTTATGGCGCCAACAGTTTGCTCAGCGCTGTACAATACAAAGGGGGACAATACAGTGCGATACACGAGGGGTCCGAGGGCCTGATCCTGGGAGCTTACAATCTATTCTCAAACACCCGTATGTACCCCAACAATCAGCATGCGCCCCACATTCTGCACCCCTCCTCTATGTCCTGTGTGTACCCAGAGACTGGAAAATATCCCAAATGTCCTGAACACCCCAACTACACCCCGGGGGGCCCCCAATACACACCCCGCCCCTCATCTAGTCCTAAAGTACCTACATACACCCCACAGTGACCCCAAAATGTTCTCCCCCGTAACACCTGGGGTCATTATTCCGAGCTCACATGATGTCCGTACCCACTGATGCCCTTCTACCCCCCCAGACACCCCCCTGCCCCCCAGAAGCCCACATACACCCCTCTACACCCCAGAGACTCCCCCAGAGGCCCTCGACACCCCCAGAGACACCCCCAGAGACTCCCCCAGAGGCCCTCGACACCCCCAGAGACTCCCCCAGAGGCCCTCGACACCCCCAGAGACTCCCCCAGAGGCCCTCCTGGACAACCTCTACACCCCAGAGACACCCCCAGAGGCCCTCGACACCCCAGAGACACCCCCAGACGCCTTCTACACCCCAGAGACACCCCCAGACGCTCTATACACCCCAGAGACACCCCCAGACGCTCTATACACCCCAGAGACACCCCCAGAGGCCCTCTACACCCCAGAGACACCCCCAGACGCTCTATACACCCCAGAGACACCCCCAGAGGCCCTCGACACCCCAGAGACACCCCCAGAGGCCCTCGACACCGCAGAGACACCCCCAGACGCTCTCTACACCCCTATGAGTGCCCATTTATGTCCCATATTTCCCTGAAAGGGGGGGGGGCGTATAGATTCATACTCTTTACCTGTAGTCCCAGTACACCCTCTCAGTACGCCTGCGTACACTCTCTGGGGCCCCAGTACGCCCCCGCACGCCCTCTGGGGCCCCTAGCACACCCACATACACCCTCTGTGGTCCCTGGCACACCCCCATACGCCCTCTGGGGCCCCTGGCACACCCCCATACGCCCTCTGGGGCCCCTGGCACACCCCCATAGACCCCTGTGGCCCCTGGCACACCCCGAGGCCCGGCTCCCCTCCCCCGAGCCGTTGGTCTCACCGAAGGAGTTGAGGAAGTCGGCGATCTTCTTGATGCTGCTGGTGATGACCTCGATGTACTCTCGGTTGGCCCAGTCCTGGTGGATCTCTCTCTGGACCGGGTCCTCCTGGCTGGCCATCTTCCTCCTCCCGTCTGCCTGTCACCACACAGCGCCGCCTGCCGGACACCCCGCTGACACCTTCCCACCTGAGGCCCCGGCGGCCATCTTGGAGGCGGGCATGGCAGCCAATCCCCAGGCATGCTGCTTTCTCGCTTACTGGCAGAACAGAGGCTACGCGGAACGCGGCGGCCATCTTGGATGGGGGCGGTGCTCCCTTCGGCTCGGAGCTCCGGCCATGTTGGAAGCGGGCAGTGATGAGTGACGCACGTCGCTGCCGCCATCTTGGAAGCGGGCAGTGCCTGCCTAGCAACGAACAAGACGCCATCTTTAACATGGGCAAAGCTGGGAAAGCCATAGGAACCGAAACATATGATACAGATCCTGTACAACCCTCCATCCCCCTCCAGTGTCCCAACCCCCAAAATATAACCAGATTACCAGAGAAAATGGCCACCTCCTGGGGTCAGACGATTGTTCCATTATACTGGAACGATCAATAAGACGATAAATTCGCAGTCCTGGGAGTGACGATGTCTGCCTGCCGACGGGGCGCTCCGTCTTCATCCCCGAGAATATTGGCGTTCTTATTTCTCTGCCTACCAATCAACTGTCTGCAGTCTCTAATGGTGTGAAACATCCACACTGCCGCTGAGAGGTCAGACATCATGTGATCTGTGGGGCTCATTCACATCAGCTGCCCAATCCAAGATGGCGCCATTTGCCTTCAGTCCCGCCCCGCCAATGAGAGCTGCTACAGTGTATCAAAAAAAAAAGTCTCTATATACAATATATATAACGTGTCTCCATCTGTCCGTCTATATATAGTTTGTATAATAAAAATATAATATATATACACAGCGCATCCAGAAAGTATTCCCCGAGCTTCACTTCCGCCACATTTTGTTATGTTCCGGCCTCATTCCACAATGGATTCCATTCGTTTTTTCTTCCACATTCCACAAACAATTCCCCATAATGACAACAGGAGAGAAGTTTGTTTTGAAGTTTATTAAAAATAAAAAATGACCCCCCCCCCATGTACATAAGTATTCCCAGCCCCCCTCCCCCCCATGTACATAAGTATTCCCAGCCCCCCTCCCCCCCATGTACATAAGTATTCCCAGCCTTTGCCATGACACTCAGCATTGAGCTCTGGTGCCTCCTGTTCCCATCGATCATCCTTGAGATGTTTCCACAACTTGATTGGAGTCCACCTGTGGGACGTTCACTGGATTGGAGTCCACCTGTGGGACATTCAGCGGATTGGAGTCCACCTGTGGGACATTCAGTGGATTGGAGTCCACCTGTGGGACGAATTCACTGGATTGGAGTCCACCTGTGGGACATTCAGCGGATTGGAGTCCACCTGTGGGACATTCAGGTGATTGGAGTCCACTTGTGGGACATTCAGCGGATTGGAGTCCACTTGTGGGACATTCAGTGGATTGGAGTCCACCTGTGGGACGTTCACTGGATTGGAGTCCACCTGTGAGACATTCAGCGGATTGGAGTCCACCTGTGGGACATTCAGGTGATTGGAGTCCACTTGTGGGACATTCAGCGGATTGGAGTCCACCTGTGGGACATTCAGCGGATTGGAGTCCAGCTGTGGGACATTCAGTTGTTTGGAGTCCACCTGTGGGGACGTTCAGGTGATTGGAGTCCAGCTGTGGGACATTCAGGTGATTGGAGTCCAGCTTTGGGACATTCAGTAGATGGGAGTCCACCTGTGGGACATTCAACAGATTGGAGTCCACCTGTGGGACAGTTGATTGGGAGTCCAGCTGTGGGACATTCAGTTGTTTGGAGTCTACCTGTGGGACGTTTCAGGTGATTGGAGTCCAGCTGTGGGACATTCAGGTGATTGGAGTCCAGCTTTGGGACATTCAGTAGATGGGAGTCCACTTGTGGGACATTCAACAGATTGGAGTCCACCTGTGGGACAGTTGATTGGAGTCCACTTGTGGGACATTCAGTTGATTGGAGTCCACCTGTGGGACATTCAGCAGATTGGAGTCCACTTGTGGGACATTCAGTTGATTGGAGTCCACCTGTGGGACATTCAGTTGATTGGAGTCCACCTGTGGGACATTCAGTGGATTGGAGTCCACCTGTGTGACATTCAGTTGATTGGAGTCCTGCTTTGGGACATTCAGTGGATTGGAGTCCACCTGTGGGGACGTTCAGCTGATTGGAGTCCACCTGTGGGACATTCAGCGGATTGGAGTCCACCTGTGGGACATTCAGTTGATTGGAGTCAACTTGTGGGACATTCAGCAGATTGGAGTCCACCTGTGGGACATTCAGTTGATTGGAGTCCACCTGTGGAACATTCAGCGGATTGGAGTCCACCTGTGGGACATTCAGTTGATTGGAGTCCACCTGTGGGACGTTCAGCTGATTGGACATGATTAGGAAAGGCATAAACCTGTCCATAGAAGGTCCCACAGGTCACAGTGCATGTCAGAGCACAAACCAAGCCATGAAGTCCAAGGAATTGTCCGTAGACCTCCGAGAAAGGATTGTATGAAGGCACAGATCGGGGGAAGGGTACAGAAACATTTCTGCAGCATTGAAGGTCCCAATGAGCACAGTGGCCTCCATCATCCATAAATGAAGACGTTTGGAACCACCAGGAATCTGCCTAGAGCGGGCCGCCAGGCCAAAATGAGCGATGGAGGGAGAAAGGGCCTTAGCCAGGGAGGTAACCAAGCACCCGATGGTCACTCTGAAAGAGCTCCAGCGATTCTCTGTGGAGGAAGGAGAACCTTCCAGAAGAACAACCATCTCTGCAGCTCCACCAATCAGGCCTGTATGGCAGAGCGTCCAGACGGAAGCCACTCCTCAATAAAAGGCAAACGGCAGCCCACCTGGAGTTTGCCAAAAGGCACCTGAGGGACTCTCAGACCATGAGAAACAAAACTCTCTGGTCTGATGGAACAAAGATTGGACTCTTTGGCCTGAATGCCAAGCGTCATGTCTGAAGGAAACCAGGCAGCGCTCACCACCTGGCCAATACCATCCCTACTGTGAAGCATGGTGGTGGCAGCATCATGATGGGGGGATGGAACTGGGAGACTAGTCAGGATGGAAGGAAAGATGAATGCAGCAATGTACAGAGACATCCTGGATGAGAACCCGTTCCGGAGCGCTCTGGACCTTAGACTGCGGCGACGGTTCATCTTTCAACAGGACAACGACCCTCAGCACACAGGCCACATCACAAAGGAGTGGCTACGGGCCAACGATGGGAATGTCCTGGTGTGGCCCAGCCAGAGCCCAGACTTGAACCCGATTGAACATCTCTGGAGAGATCTGACAATGGCGGTGCACCGACACCCCCCATCCAACCTGATGGAGCTGGAGAGGAACTGTAAAGAAGAACGGGAGAAATCGCCCAAAAATAGGTGTCCAGGCTTGTAGCATCATCCTCAGAACGACTCAAGGCCGGCATGGGGGCTAAAGGGGCTTCAACCAAGGAGCAAAGGCTGGGAAGACTTATTTACAGGGGGCGTGGCCTGGGAATACTTTTGTACATGGGGGGGGGGGGGGGGGGGGGGCTGGGAATACTTATGTACAATGGGGGGCTGGGAATACTTATGTACATGGGGGGGCTGGGAATACTGATGTACATGGGGGGGCTGGGAATACTGATGTACATGGGGGGGGGGAATACTGATGTACATAGGGGGGGCTGGGAATACTGATGTACATGGGGGGGCTGGGAATACTGATGTACATGGGGGGGCTGGGAATACTGATGTACATGGGGGGGCTGGGAATACTTATGTACATGGGGGGGCTGGGAATACTGATGTACATACATAGGGGGGGCTGGGAATACTTATGTACATGGGGGGGCTGGGAATACTGATGTACATGGGGGGGCTGGGAATACTGATGTACATAGGGGGGCTGGGAAGGAATACTTATGTACATGGGGGGGCTGGGAATACTGATGTACATGGGGGGGCTGGGAATACTGATGTACATGGGGGGGCTGGGAATACTGATGTACATAGGGGGGGCTGGGAATACTTATGTACATGGGGGGGCTGGGAATACTGATGTACATGGGGGGGCTGGGAATACTGATGTACATGGGGGGGTTGGGAATACTTATGTACATAGGGGGGCTGGGAATACTGATGTACATGGGGGGCTGGGAATACTGATGTACATGGGGGGGCTGGGAGTACTGATGTACATAGGGGGGCTGGGAATACTGATGTACATGGGGGGGGGGGGGGGGGTTTGTTTTTTAGTTTTAATAAATTGCAAAGATTTCAAAATGAACGTCTTTCCCGTTGTCATTATGGGGGATTGTTTGTAGAATGTTGAGGAAAAATTGTGTGTCCGTCCATCTATACGTCTTCAACCGTTCATCCATCTCTCCATCCATCCGTTTTATTTTGTTGAGAAATCTCTTTGAAAAACATCCCCCCCCCCTATCGTTTCTAGTGGTAGACATCTTGAGTAAGGGCAAATAATTCATGTAGCATTTAGTTCCCAGAATCCATTTGCCCTTAGCTCAGGTACGCAGGCAGGAGGATGTGCTTAACTGAGAAAGCCCTCCTCCCCAAAGACTCCTAGGCTGTATGACATCATTTGCCCCGGCCAGAAACCAGGAAGTAACTAAAATGAAAAAAAATAAATAAAAAGTGTAAAACAAGTAAATCTAATCCCCCGCCTGTTCTATTTACGAATACTATCAGCATAAGGATCAAACAAGGCAGATTGGGGCTCCACTTTTGGTTATCCACCCATCCACATCTCCATATTGGGGGGGGGGGGTTAGTCCCCAGAGTACAACCAGGGGGGGGGGGCAATAAGGGGACCAGAGAACCATGGGGGGGTAAGGGAACTGGGGAACCAAATGTGTATGTGGGTGGGTGCAGATAAAGGGGACCTGGGAACCACGTGGGGGACCGGGGAACCATGTGGGGGCAGATGAGGGGACAAGGAAATGCATGGGGGGGTGGATAAGGGGGACCAGAGAACCACGTGGAGGGGGGGGCAAATAAGGAAACTGGGGAACCACAAGTGTATGTGGGGGCGCAGATGAGTTGAACCAGAGAACCACCTGGGGGGGGGGGGGTGAGGGGACCACGGAACTACGCTGGGGGGGATGAGGGGACCAGGGAACTACATGAGGTGGGCAGACGAGGGGACCACATGAGGGGAGTGGATGAGGGGACCAGGGAACTATGCAGGGGGGGCAGATGAGAGGTACCAGGGAACCACATGAGGGGAGCGGATGGGGGGGACCAGGGAATTACATGAGGGGAGCGGATGGGGGGGACCAGGGAATTACATGAGGGGGGCGGATGAGGAGGACCAGGAAACTACATGAGGGGGGCAGATGAGGGGACCAGGAAACTACATGAGGGGGGCGGATGAGGGGGACCAGGGAAATACATGAGGGGGGCGGATGAGGGGGACCAGGGAAATACATGAGGGGGGCGGATGAGGGGACCAGGGAACTACACGAGGGGGGGGGGCGGACGAGGGAACCACATGAGGGGAGTGGATGAGGGGACCAGGGAACCACATAAGGGGACCACATGAGGGGGGGGCTGATGAGGGAACCACATGAGGGGAGCAGATGAGGGAACCAGGGAACTACATGAGGGGGGCAGACAAGGGGACCACATGAGGGGGGCGGATGAGGGAACCAGGGAACCACGAGGGGGGCGGATGAGGGGACCAGGGAACCACGAGGGGGGCGGATGGGGGGGACCAGGGAAACCACATGAGGGGGGCGGATGGGGGGACCAGGAAACCACATGAGGGGGGCGGATGAGGGAACCAGGGAACCACGAGGGGGGCGGATGAGGGAACCACGAGGGGGGCGGATGAGGGGACCAGGGAACAAGGGGGGCGGATGAGGGGACCAGGGAACCACATGAGGGGAGCGGATGGGGGGACCAGGAAACTACATGAGGGGGGCAGACGAGGGGACCAGGAAACTACATGAGGGGGGCGGACGAGGGAACCACATGAGGGGGGCAGATAAGGGGACCAGGGAACCACGAGGGGGGCGGATGAGGAGACCAGGGAACCACATGAGGGGGGCGGATGGGGGGACCAGGAAACCACATGAGGGGGGCGGATGAGGGAACCAGGGAACCACGAGGGGACCAGGGAACCACGAGGGGGGCGGATGAGGGGACCAGGGAACAAGGGGGGCGGATGAGGGGACCAGGGAACCACGAGGGGAGCGGATGGGGGGACCAGAAAACTACATGAGGGGGGCAGACGAGGGGACCACATGAGGGGACCAGGAAACTACATGAGGGGGGCGGACGAGGGAACCAGGGAACCACATGAGGGGGGCAGATAAGGGGACCAGGGAACCACGAGGGGGGGCGGATGAGGGGACCAGGGAACCACATGAGGGAAGCGGACGAGGGGACCACATGAGGGGGTCAGACGAGGGGACCACATGGGGGGGGGGGCAGATGAGGGGACCAGGGAACTACAAGGTTCTCTTCGACATGTAATACCGCCCTCCTATAGCTGGCCTCGTGCCTGGAGTTCGTTTTTTGTATCGATATTTCTCCTAATAGGTACATATTGGTTTTGCAATTATATTGATTTATTTTTAGATAAAATCTTCATGTTCACAATCCGTATTCTCCATCTGCAGCCAGCAGGCGGCGCTGTAAGCTCCTTTCCACATGTTTTCCAGACTCTCCTTATTGGCCTGTTTACAGAGCTCAGTTGCTCAAAACTATTCTACAAGTAAAACGAGTCGCAGTACAAATTTCTGAAGGATCCTTTTAATGAAATAAAACTTGAAACAAACTCGTGGAAGTAGAATAGACCAACTTTATTGACAGACTGACATTGCCAAACACGATATTCACAGGGAAGGGGGGGGGGGGGGGGGGAGGGGAGGCAGCAATAACTTCTGGTATATGTGCTGCGTGATATAGAAATTCATGACTATAGACTCTGGTGCCCCCCGGGGTGGTACGGGGGGGGAGGGGTGTGGTCAGGCTCTGGCGGACACCATCTTGCTCATGCCGGAGAAGTAGGATTTCTCGCGCTCGCTCATCACCCTCGAAGTGCAGCGGCTGGCGGCAGAAGTTGCACTCGGCGGTGGAATGCGGTCGGAGCTCCAGGTTCACCTCCTTCCAGTGAGCAGAAGTTTCTCTGTGGGGGAGGAAAGGACACGTTAACATCACAAAGAAAGATGTCCGGACTTCGCCTGATATAGGGAATGGGTGGCGGGTCAGGATGGCCGACGGTAATCTGCTTCTATTTTACTTTCCCTGGTTCCCCCCCTCCCCCCCCTTATCAACATGCTAATGACATCATTAATGTTAGGGTTCCGTTTTCATTGCATGATTTAGAATACCATGATCTAAACACTGGGTCTCTGTGCTTCTCTATGTAATGCGGGCAGATCATGGCTTGTGGGAGGGGCCAGGAAGCTACGTACAGCACCCTCCCACCAGCCAATGATCAGCCTGCATGGCATAGTCCTCCTCGAGGGCCCTCAGATTGTAGAACGTCAGAAGCTGGTCTGGCGTACCCAGGAAGTAGTTCATCATCTGCGGAGTATGGTGGGGGGTGGGAGCGATTCTCAGCAGCTCCTCTCCGCGGGGGACGGTGGGGTAGTTGATCGCTTGTACGTAGATGTCGTGGTGGGTCATCAGCGATCGCAGATCTCCGTGTTCTTGGCGGCATCTGCAACCTGCGACAGAAGACGGGTCACGGTTCAGCCCATGCAAATATCATTTATTGCTCTTAAAGGGGACCTGAACCCCTCACCCCCCCCCCCCCCCTGATTGGAGGACACCACCCATAGATCGGTAGCTGTCAGGAACGACAGCCAATCACAGCAGGCACATCGCCAAACCTTCCTGCCTCCCTGACTTGTAAAAAAAGGGAAGGGGGGGGGGGGCTTAAAGGGCAGATCTACCTTTCTGTATGGGAACACTGACCCACCCCACCCCCCATGCCTAGGTACACTCGGACACGACACCTTTTCAGGCCCCGCCAACGAACATAAATCAGGGAAATTAATACTCAAATCTGGAGCGGCGGCCAAGAATGCGGGAGATGATACTCTGGGAACGCATCATTACACAAAGACCGGGCGGGGCACACCTGGGCGGGGCGGGCGGGGCACGCCATTATCATCACATGTCGCAATCAGGACACCTGCCAAGTCATTTACAGGAGAACTCCGGGCAAAGCACAAACCCCGAGATTCGAGAGATGGAGGCCTGCCGGAGCCCGCCCTCACATACACGACAAGGGCCACCATTGCGATGACATCACTGCGAGCGCATTTATTACATTTCATCTACTATTAATATTATGTCATTGAAGAGATAAATTAGGATCGGTAAGATTTCTGTTGTGAGGATTCAAAAATGAAACGATATAAACGTATTTTTAAATTTAAGATCATATAAAAAATAAAATTATAGATTACAAAAAAAAGTTATTAAAAATGATATGTAATTGTATTTGATTATTATTTTTATGAAAAAAAAAATTCTCAAAAGTTATACACCATTTATTATTTTTATGCATAAAACATTTTTTTTATAATTTTTTTTTAATAAAAACAACAATCGTAATAACAACCACAATATTATTATGCATTTTTTTATTTTATTAAAAGAGAGAGACGAGGAGAGAGAGTGCGAGAGAGAGTGCGAGAGACAAGAGAGTGCGAGAGAGAGAGTGCGAGAGACAAGAGAGTGCGAGAGACAAGAGAGTGCGAGAGACAAGAGAGAGACAAGAGAGTGCGAGAGACAAGAGAGTGCGAGAGAGAGAGAGAGAGTGCGAGAGAGACAAGAGAGTGCGAGAGGAGAGTGCGAGAGACAAGAGAGTGCGAGAGACAAGAGAGTGCGAGAGACAAGAGGAGAGAGAGACAAGAGAGTGCGAGAGGAAGAGAGAGTGCGAGAGACAAGAGAGTGCGAGAGACAAGAGAGTGCGAGAGACAAGAGAGTGCGAGAGACAAGAGAGTGGCGGAGACAAGAGAGTGCGAGAGACAAGAGAGTGCGAGGGACAAGAGAGTGCGAGAGACAAGAGAGGTGCGAGGGAGAGGGAGAGAGAGACAAGAGAGTGCGAGGGACAAGAGAGAGACAAGAGAGTGCGAGGGACAAGAGAGAGACAAGAGAGTGCGAGGGACAAGAGAGAGACAAGAGAGTGCGAGGGACAAGAGAGAGACAAGAGGAGTGCGGGGGAACAAGAGAGAGACAAGAGAGTGGGACAAGGGGACAAGAGAGAGACAAGAGGTGGAGGGACAAGAGAGAGACAAGAGAGTGCGAGGGACAAGAGAGAGACAAGAGAGTGGCGAGGGGACAAGAGAGAGACAAGAGAGTGCGAGGGGACAAGAGAGAGACAAGAGAGTGCGAGGGACAAGAGAGAGACAAGAGAGTGCGAGGGACAAGATGGGAGGGAGGGGACAAGGGGAAGGTGGGAGGGACAAGAGAGAGAGACAAGAGAGTGCGAGGGACAAAGAGAGAGACAAGAGAGTGCGAGGGACAAGAGAGAGACAAGAGAGTGCGAGGGACACGAGAGAGAGACAAGAGAGTGCGAGGGACAAGAGGAGGGGAAACAAGAGTGCGCGAGGGACAAGAGAGAGACAGAGAGTGCGAGGGACAAGAGAGAGACAAGAGAGTGCGAGGGACAAGAGAGAGACGAGAGAGAGGGCGGAGGGACAAGAGAGAGACAAGAGAGTGCGAGGGACAAGAGAGAGACAAGAGAGTGGGAGGGACAGAGAGAGACAAGAGAGGGGCGAGGGACAAGAGAGAGACAAGAGAGTGCGAGGGACAAGAGAGAGACAAGAGAGTGCGAGGGACAAGAGAGAGACAAGAGGTGCGAGGGGGGAGGGGGAGAGAGACAAGAGAGCGAGGGAGAGAGAGACAGAGAGGCGAGGGACAAGAGAGAGACAAGAGAGTGCGAGGGACAGAGGAGAGACAAGAGAGTGCGAGGGACAAGAGAGAGAGAACAAGAGAGTGAGGAGGGACGAGAGAGAGACAGAGAGTGCGGGAGACGAGAGAGAGAGGGGAGAGAGAGGGAGAGAGAGAGAGAGAGAGAGGGCGCGCGAGACGGGAAGAGAGAGAGAGCGCGGGAGACGACGAGAGAGAGAGAGCGGCGAGGGAGAGGAGGAGAGCGCGGAGACGAGAGGAGAGGGAGAGAGAGGAGACGCGGAGACGAGAGAGGGCGCGCGAGGGAGAGAGAGCGCGCGCGAGAGAGAGGGGGAGCGCGCGAGACGAGAGGAGAGGGCGCGAAGAGGGGGGGGGGAGAGCGCGCGCGAGAGGAGAGGGGGGGGGCGAGGGGAGGGGAGAGAGAGAGGAGGCGCGCGGGGGAGAGGGGGAGAGGAGCGCGGGGGCGCGAGACGAGAGAGAGGAGAGAGGGGCGCGAGGCGGACGAGAGAGAGAGAGAGAGAGGGAGACGGAGAGAGAGAGAGGAGCGAGAGGGAGGAGGGAGAGAGGGAGAGCGCGCGCGAGACGAGAGAGAGAGAGCGCGCGCGAGGGGAGAGAGAGAGAGAGCGCGCGGCGGACGAGAGAGAGAGAGAGGGCGGAGGGACGAGAGAGAGAGAGCGCGCGCGAGACGAGAGAGAGAGAGAGCGCGCGCGAGACGAGAGAGGGAGAGAGCGGGCGAGGGGGGAGAGAGAGAGAGGAGGGGCGGAGGGGAGAGAGGAGAGAGAGGGGGGAGAGAGAGAGAGAGAGCGCGAGCGAGAGAGAGACGAGGGAGAGAGAGGAGAGAGCGAGAGAGAGACACGCGAGAGGAGAGAGAGACACGCGAGACAGAGAGAGAGACACGCGAGACAGAGAGAGAGAGACACGGGAGACAGAGAGAGAGACACGCGAGACAGAGAGAGAGACACGCGAGACAGAGGGAGAGACACGAGAACAGAGAGAGAGAGACACGCGAGACAGAGAGGAGAGACACGCGAGACAGAGAGAGAGAGACACGCGAGACACAGAGAGAGAGGAACGCGAGACAGAGAGAGAGACACGCGAGAGGGAGAGAGAGAGACACGCGAGACGGAGGAGAGAGAGACACGGGAGACAGAGAGAGAGACAGGGAGAGAGAGAGAGGAGGAGACACGCGAGACAGAGAGCGAGACACGCGAGACAGAGAGCGAGACACGCGAGACAGAGAGCGAGACACGCGAGACAGAGAGGAGAGACGCGAGCGAGACAGAGAGCGAGAGAGGAGCGAGACAGAGAGAGAAGAGATGCGAGACAGGGCGAGAGAGAGAGGACACGCGAGAGAGAGAGAGAGAGACACGCGAGAGAGAGAGAGAGACACGCGAGACAGAGAAGAGAGAGAACACGCGAGACAGAGAGAGAGAAACGCGGAGGAGAAGAGAGAGAGAGACACGCGAGACAGAGAGCGAGAGACACGCGAGACAGAGAGCGAGACACGCGAGACGCGAGACAGAGAGAGAGACACGCGAGACAGAGAGAGAGACACGCGAGACAGAGAGAGAGACACGCGAGACAGAGAGAGACACGCGAGACGGAGAGAGAGAGAGACGCGAGACAAGAGAGAGAGAGAGAGAGAGAGAGACACGCGAGACGAGAGAGAGAGAGCGCGCAAAGAACGAAGCGCAATGAGAGAGAGACACGCGAGACAAGAGAGAGAGACAAGAGAGAGAGAGAGAGACAAGAGAGAGAGAGAGAGAGAGAGAGACACGCGAGAGAGAGAGAGAGAGAGACACGCGAGACAAGAGAGAGAGAGAGACACGCGAGACAGTTGAGAGAAGAGAGAGACACGCGCGAGACAAGAGAGAGAGAGAGAGAGACACGCGAGACAAGAGAGAGAGAGAGACATGTGAAAAAGAGAGAGAGACACGCGAGGCTAGGGAGAGAGAGAGAGAGAGAGAGCGCGCAAAGAGACGAGAGCGCAAAGAGAGTGAGAGAAGAGACGAGAGAAGAGAGCGAGAGCACAGGTGAGAACAGTGAGTGAGAATAGAGAGAGCGAGAGAGAAAAGTAGAATTGCATTTTTTTAATAAAAATAATTAAATATAATTTTAATTTCATTAAAATAAATTTTTAGTTAAATAACGTTCTATATAATTCAATTTTATTTTTTTATAATCATAATAACATCAATCCCAATTGCTCTCCGATGATATATTAATAGTGAATAAAATGTAATAAATATCACTATAATAATAATGTATTTCTTTGGTATACTCCCCCCCCCCCCCCCCCCCCCCCGATGACTCATTGGTGGACGCCATGGAGTGCCCCCATAGGACCCCCTGTGTACACGGACTGCTCTGGCTCTGGGCCCCGGGCCCCTCATGGCCTTCTTACCCTGATGGGGATGATGTGACTGGGGCAGTGCACCACCGGCAGGCCGGCGTCCATCAGCATTTGTCGCAGGAGTTTGACGTTGCGCTGGTGTTGTTGGCGCCGTAGCGCCTGTCCCTCCTCGCTCTTCAGGACCTTCACAGAAGCCATGGCTCCGGCCAGCAGCATGGGTGGGAGGGACGTGGTGAAGATGAAGCCGGCGGCGTAGGAGCGGACCGTGTCTACCAGGGCGCTGGTGCTGGCGATGTACCCGCCCACACAGCCAAACGCTTTTCCTGCCGGAAGAAGAAACAAAAACATTTCACAAAAATGTGGACATTGGCGGCCTTACATCTGCACAATACTGCCCAATGACGCTGCAGCGGCTGTCCTGAGCCCGCCTTCATCTGCCACCAAGCCCCTCCCCTCCTGATCTGTACTGCCATTGCCCGCCTTCATCTGCCACCAAGCCCCTCCCCTCTTGATCCGTACTGCCATTGCCCGCCTTCATCTGCCACCAAGCCCCTCCCCTCCTGATCCATACTGCCATTGCCCGCCTTCATCTGCCACCAAGCCCCTCCCCTCCTGATCCGTACTGCCATTGCCCGCCTTCATCTGCCACCAAGCCCCTCCCCTCCTGATCCGTACTGCCATTGCCCGCCTTCATCTGCCACCAAGCCCCTCCCCTCCTGATCTGTACTGCCATTGCCCGCCTTCATCTGCCACCAAGCCCCTCCCCTCCTGATCCATACTGCCATTGCCCGCCTTCATCTGCCACCAAGCCCCTCCCCTCCTGATCCATACTGCCATTGGCTGCCTTCATCTGCCACCAATTCCCTCCCCTCCTGATCCGTACTGCCATTGCCCGCCTTCATCTGCCACCAAGCCCCTCCCCTCCTGATCCGTATTGCCATTGCCCGCCTTCATCTGCCACCAAGCCCCTCCCCTCCTGATCCATACTGCCATTGGCTGCCTTCATCTGCCACCAAGCCCCTCCCCTCCTGATCCGTACTGCCATTGACCGCCTCCCTCTATCAGCTTACTCTTCCATCAATCACTTTGTTCCTGAGCATTACATGAAAGAACGCATTCCCAGAATCCCTTTAGACATGCATGTTCAAGCAACCAATCAGCATGCCGCTGGGTGCTACTAGCTGTGCAAAGAGGAGGATGCATGTCTAAAGGGATGTTTTTTATGATTTGACTGAAACATTTAATTGCATGTTGATTGGGAAGGAGGGAGATTTTGGGCAAGGGAAGGAAATGTATACATCATTACACTTCAGCTGTACATTTTTGCTGCAGGCAGGAGGAAGCATTTCCTCAGTCTCCCCTCCCCCAGTGATCAGACTGTACATTGTATCTTTGTAGAAGGAGGAGGAGGCATTTCCTCAGTCTCCCCTCCCCCAGCAATCAGACTGCACATTGTAACTTTGTAGAAGGAGGAGGAGGCATTTCCTCAGTCTCCCCTCCCCCAGTGATCAGACTGTACACTGTAACTTTGTAGAAGGAGGAGGCGGCATTCCTCAGTCTCCCCTCCCCCAGTGATCAGACTGTACATTATAACTTTGTACAAGGAGGGGGAGGCATTTCCTCAGTCTCTCCTCCCCCAGTGATCAGACTGTACATTATAACTTTGTACAAGGAGGGGGAGGCATTTCCTCAGTCTCCCCTCCCCCAGTGACCAGACTGTACATTGTAACTTTGTAGAAGGAGGAGGAGGCATTTCCTCAGTCTCCCCTCCCCCAGTGATCAGACTGTACATTGTAACTTTGTAGAAGGAGGAGGAGGCATTTCCTCAGTCTCCTCCCCCAGTGATCAGACTGTACATTGTAACTTTGTAGAAGGAGGAGTCATTTTCCTATAATAAAGGTCAGATATGGAACACAACACATACCGAGGGTTCCGGAAATTATGTCCATCTTATTCATGACTCCATCGCGGTCCCCTATTCCTCCTCCCCGGGCCCCGTATAACCCGACAGCATGGACTTCATCCACAAAGGTTATGGCTCCGAACTCATGGGCCACGTCACACATCTCCTCCAGGGGACACACGGCACCTGTATGTACAATAAACATGTCAGAGAACATGGGGGAGGTGTTCTGTAGTCCACAGAGGGGAAATAGGCGGGTCTGACAACACCGCTCGGGATTTCAGTTGTCAGCTCACTGCAGGAAGTAGGGAATTCGGTGGATTTCCGGGAAGATCGGGGAGAGAGATAAGGCGGCTGGACACTCTCTGGAACTCTCCGGAACCCGCAGTGTGGCATCTGGTGGAGGGAAGATAAATCACGGCTCACAACAAGCGTCACTCACCATCCATGGAATGGACTGTCTCAAAGGCCACGATCTTGGGGGTGGACGGGTCGGAGTTCTTCAGCAGCTCCCGCAGATGGGTCGCGTCGTTGTGCCGAAACACGTACTTTGGCACTCGGCTGTTCCGGATCCCCTGGATCATGGAGGCGTGGTTCCCCGAATCCGAGTAGATCTCACAGCCTGCAGAACAGATCACGTCATTACTTCCCCCCCCCATTGTACCGATCCTTCCCGAACCCAACTGTAAGACGATTTTCAGCAGGACTTTCACTGGGTTACTGAAGAAGCTCCGCCCCTTTAATGCTGAACTGATGAAATGTTGCCTTCCCCTGTTTCCTCCCCTCCCCCTCCATGGACATGACAAGTTTTAATGAAACAGTTTCCCCCCCAATTATAGATCTTATTTTAGATCACTGGGTCTCTGCGCTTCTCTATGTAATACACGGCCATCATGGCTGTTGGGAGGGCCAGCAGGAAGCAGTACAGCCCCCTGCCTTAGTTCTCCTTTCAAGAGCCCTCAGTCATGATGCCAGCAGTGGGAGGAGTTATGCAAATATCAAAATGCCTTGACGGGTGGGTGCCAGTCCAGAGGAGTAGGCGTTCCTAGACAGGCTGTATTTGCATAGGTAACGCCCACATATGACACTGAGCCTCCATGAAGTGCGAGACCCCAGGGGAGGAGCCGCTACGCCCGTGCGAGACCCCAGGGGAGGAGCCGCTACGCCCGTGCGAGACCCCAGGGGAGGAGCCGCTACGCCCGTGCGAGACCCCAGGGGAGGAGCCGCTACGCCCGTGCGAGACCCCAGGGGAGGAGCCGCTACGCCCGTGCGAGACCCCAGGGGAGGAGCCGCTACGCCCGTGCGAGACCCCAGGGGAGGAGCCGCTACGCCCGTGCGAGACCCCAGGGGAGGAGCCGGTACACCCGTGCAAGACCGGAGGGGAGGAGCCGGTACACCCGTGCAAGACCGGAGGGGAGGAGCCGGTACACCCGTGCAAGACCGGAGGGGAGGAGCCCGGTACAAAACCCGTGCAAGACCGGAGGGGAGGAGCCGGTACACCAAACCCGTGCAAGACCGGAGGGGAGGAGCCGGTACACCCGTGCAAGACCGGAGGGGAGGAGCCGGTACACCTGTGCAAGACCGGAGGGGAGGAGCCGGTACACCTGTGCAAGACCGGAGGGGAGGAGCCGGTACACCTGTGCAAGACCGGAGGGGAGGAGCCGGTACACCTGTGCAAGACCGGAGGGGAGGAGCCGGTACACCTGTGCAAGACCCGGAGCCGGGAGGCAAGCCGAGGAGCCGGTACACCCGTGCAAGACCGGAGGGGAGGAGCCGGTACACCGTGCAAGACCGGAGGGGAGGAGCCGGTACACCCGTGCAAGACCGGAGGGGAGGAGCCGGTACACCCGTGCAAGACCGGAGGGGAGGAGCCGGTACACCTGTGCAAGACGGGGGGGAGGAGCCGGTACACCTGTGCAAGACCGGAGGGGAGGCCGGGGGGAGGATTTTCATGCTCTCCTTGCTGCGCTATGGCCTAGGTCTGCCCTATATGAATACATTATCATTGTGTCCCGTAGAATTCTCTGTATAGAAGACGTAAGCCCCTCCCACCGCGGCGACCTACCCGGCAGCATCTTAGCCAGAGTGAAGAGCGTGGAGTCGTTGGCCACGAAGCAGGAGGAGAAGAGTAAGGCGGAGTCTTTGCCGTGGAGGTCGGCCAATTCGTGTTCCAGATCCACGTGGAATTTACTGGTCCCGGAAATGTTCCTGGTCCCGCCAGCACCGGCGCCATGATGTTTCAGGGTATCCCTATGGAGAAAAAATAAAGGACTTTTCAGTTCCCTGTCAGCAGGAAGTGGCTTGGCGGCTATAATGGCGGTCAAACACGTTTCAAATTTTTTAAAATTTGATCGTGGTGTGAAAAAACCCCCATCCTCCCCGCCATAGAAGGCACAGCTCTCCCGATACACGTAGAATCAATTTCGATTGGCCCGGATGGAATATTATCGATCGATTTCCACCAATCGGCGGGACGGAAAGGTATTACTCAGCAATTTGAATGCATTTCAGTCCTTCGTATTGAAGGGTAACAACTGCAGCAGAGGTGCTGTGTGACGGAGCTGTGCGACTCTGACAACTGGATGAGCACCAATACAAATCCATTGGTAGGTGATCCTCCCACGAAGATCCTTCATCGAGCTCCTCCTCTGAATGGGTGATGAGCTCCTCCCAAATCTGCATCTGACCCGGCATCAGCCACCCACCCACCTCAGACTGGGAGAAGAAGCAGCCAATCAGTCGTGCCGACAATACACATGCTGATAGTAGGAGAGAGCAGAGTGACCGTTATGATCTCATCAGTCCGCTGCTTCTCCTCTCACTGTCCAATCACAGCCGGGGGGGGAGGGGGGGGGGGGGAACAAGACCTATAAATGATACCGAATGGCAGCAGAGAATCAAGTCTCCAGTTCTGACAGAGCGGTGTAAATCTCAGGACTGGATTGGCAGAAATACAAATCCTTTTGTAGGTTTAATCGCTCCTTTGTGATGAACTTCGTCTTCCTGTTCAGCTGTTTGCCGAGAGATCGATCGTTACACAATGGTCACCCATGGTGCTCGGGGACTCCCCTAGGAGGAAGTGAATTCCTCCAGAGAACGCTCCGCTACATTGTTACAACGTATATTTCCTGATTGCAAAAAATGGGGGGGGGGGGGATCAGTCAGTCCACCATGAGGCGTGCCATGGGTCAGACAAGAAACATTTAATGCCAGGAGTGAGTCAGGACGACCTTGTAAAAAAAAAAAAAAAAAAAAAAAAAAAAAAAATTTATATGTAAATTTACATATAATTTTTTTTTTTTTTTTTTTTTTTTTTACAAGGTCGTCCTGACTCACTCCTGGCATTAAATGTTTCTTGTCTGACCCAGTTTTAACAAATAATTTTTTTTAAATACAAATATAGATTTTTTTTAACTAAAGAAATAAACTAATCTACATATAATATATATTTAATTAAATATAAAATATATATATATATATAATATATATAATATATATATATTAAATTAATATAAAAAATATATAATATATATATATACTGTATATATATATATATATATATATATATATAATATAATATTTTTATATATATATATATTTATACTATATATATATATTTAGTATTTAATATATTTATTTTAAAAAAAAAAAAAATTATATATATTTTTTTTTTATATTTATAATATATTTAAAAAATATAATTATTTATATATTTTAAAAAATAATTAGTTAAAAAAAAATAAATATATATAAATTTTTAAAATATTATTATTTTTTTTTTAAAAAATTAAATAAATTAAAAATAAAATATTTTTTAATATATATATATATATATATATAAAATATATAAATATTAATATAATATATATATATTATAAATATAATATAAAATATATATAAATAATATATATATAAAAAAAATATTTATTTAAAAATAAAAAAAATAAATTAAATATTATTAATAATTAATATTAAAGTTTTTCCAATAACTTATGTGCGTTTTCTTTTATTATAAATTAAGTTCCCATTTTGTCATAAATACCACATAAAAGAATGTTCTATCGCCCCAAAAAAAAAAAATGCTTTTCAACCGCAGTCCTGCGCAAGGACTTAATAAAAATAGTTGTCATCATACTATCGCAGCGATGAACGCTTAATTTTAACGAAAAAAATAAGCTGGCACTGTGATGATTTAAATAATAATATTTACAATCGATCTCAAATTCGTCCTGAAAAATCACCCAGAAAATAAGAGAGCCGGTTTTGTGTTGTTGCGTCTTCTAAACGCGGTTTATTCTCATCCTCCAACCAGGAATTTTTAGAATAAAGAATAGAATTAAAAAAATTAAACCATTTATAATTTAAGAAAATATTTCTCCGGCTTTAATAATATATTGCGCTGTTAATAAAAATAAATAAAAATTGAGGTCACGGCACAATTTTTTTTATTAAAATTAAAAAAAACCAAATTTTGTGAATGAACACAATCAGCTAAAAAAGGAGAAATAAAATTAAAAAATTGGTAAACAAACACTCGGGAAATGTCGGTGAAAGTTTTTTCCCCCCCCCCCCCCCCCAATTAAATTTGCAAGCGCTTGCGACTCTGGAAGTACAAAAAAAAATAATTGTGTATGCTGGGACTTGTATATAAAGTTATTAAGGATCAAATAATACTAAATAAACTAATAAAAATATGGTAAAAAAAAAAAAAAAAAGTTCAATAAAATTCTCAGTATTAATAAATCTGTACTTTGAAATACAATAAATAAAACGTGGCGAGGGGGGGGGGGAGGGGGGGGGGGGGGGGTAAGATAAAAAAAGGTCAAATTACAAATCAGTTTTCCACGGCCGCAGCCTTGAAAGAACATTCTGAGCCGAGTCGATGGCAACGAAAAACAGTAAACCCCGGGGCCACGCCCGATAATATTTAAAAACAGTAAAATTGTAACAATGATTCCTACGAGACCGCGTCAAATCTCCGCGTTTTAACGCTTTTTTTTTAAAAGGGGCGGGGAATTTTTTTGGACGCAAAAAATAAATTTTTAGTTCTATAGATTTCAATTGAAACGCTGCAGAAAACGCATTATAATAAAATTTTAAACCGCGTTTTAAATCTAAAATTAAGTAGCAACAATAAAAAACAAAAAAAAAATTTTTTTTAAAAAAAAAATAAATAATAATTTTAAAAAAAAAAAAAAAGTTAAAATACAAAAAAAAGGCAAATGCATATTAAATGTATATACGAGCAGTCAAAATAACCTGCATAGGTTTGAAAAAAAAAAAAATTATTATTTTGGATTAAATTAAAAGGAGACTCCACCTGGAACAAATTTCACAAAATTTGCAAAAAAAATAAAGTTTTTATTATTAAAAAAAATCATCAGCTCCGGTTTACAATTAAATGCGGAATTTGCAAATAAATTTAAAAAAAAATGAATCCCTCACCGCATTCAAATCGCTCCCCGTTCATGCTAAAATATTAAAAGTAAATTGAATGTTAAGTGAAAAAAACACCCCAAATCGGTCCGTAAAATTATATATTTTGCAGAATCCGATAAAAATTAGGTGTAATTAAATCCCATCGGGTTTGATAATTTATTGCCGAATAAAAAATTCCTGCGTGTTTTTGCAGTGATTAGAGCCATACAGAATGTTACGTCTCCAATTAAACCGCGCAATTATTAATCACATTTTGGCAAATTAAATAAAAATTCTTGTAAATCAAAATTAAAAAACCGCACACACACATTTAAAAACACGGGGGCCAAGTCCCCGGTCAAAAATAACTTATAATGTCCAGGGTGCAATAAAAATTGATTAAAAAACACATGTAAAAATGTCGGCATCTTAAACACGTAAAAATTTTAAATATAAAATTTCTGAAGTCATTAAAAAATTTTACTTTTAAATTAAGTTAAAAAAAATAAATTTAAATTGTTGCGATTTCACACCATAAACTTTAAAATAAAAAAAAAAAAAAAAAAAAAATCGTAAAAAAATCTAAAATTAAAATAAAAAAAATAATGAAATTTTTTAGCTTTACATAGTATTAAATAAATTAATGAAACTAAATAATTTTTAATTATTTCTTTTCATATAATATTTAATTTAAAACCAAATTATTTTTTAAAAAAAAAATTTTTTAAAAAATATCCATAAAAAAACCGGATTTAACAAAAAAAAAATAAAAAAAACATATCAAATTAAAAGTAAAAACCGATAAAAAATCGTACTTAGTCAATAATAAATGTTTAAAAAAATTAAAAATTAAAATCTTTTAAAAAAAATTCGGTTTAATTAAATAAAAAAATTTAAAAAAAATAACAAAAAAAATTTAATTATTACATACCCCTCTTTTTTTCGTAAAAAAAATAAAAAAAAAAATGTATTGGCTAAAAATATTAAATAAATCGTAAGTAATAACAAAACAAAATAAAAAAAAAAAAAAAAAATTAAATTAATAACATAAAAAAAAAAATAAAAAAAAAAAAAATAAAAAATTAAAAAATAAAAACCGGATATCAAAATAAAAAAAAAAAATATATTTTGTATAAATTCCCCAAAACAAAAAAATAAATAAAAAAAAAAAAAATCAATCAAAAAATTAACAAAATAATTTGCAACCCCCAAAAAAAAAAAAAAAAACTAATAAAACTAAAAAAAAAATAAAAAAAAAAAAAAAAAATAAAAAAAAAAAAAAAAAAAAAATTAAAAACAAAAAAAAATAAAATAAAAAATAAAATACGGATTTTGCCTATTTTAAACCAAATTAAATAATAAAATATTATAACAAACCCCCCCCCCCAAAATAAAAAAAATCGTGTATAACCCAAAAAAAATAAAATTAAACTAAAATAAAAAAATCGTGTAATTTACAAAAAAAAAAATAAAAAAACATAAAAAAATAAAATAATGTCAAAATAAAAAAATCAAACAATATGCAGCCCCCCCCACCATCGGAAAAAAAAAAAAAAAAAATTTAAGGAACTTGCAAAACAAAATCAAAAATTAAAAAAAAACCCCCCCCTTAAAAAAAAAAAAAATAAAAAATATTATTAAAAAAAATAAAAAAAAAAAATAAAAAAATTTTAAAAAAATAAAAAAAAAATAAAAAAAACTAAAAAAATCCCCCCCCAAAAAAATAAAAAAAAAATTAAACAAATAAAAAAAAAAATAAATTTAACAAAATTTAAAAAAGTAAATAGGTCATAAAATTAAAAAAAAAAATTAAAAAAACAAAAAACAATACAAATAACTATAAAAAAGTAGCGCA